TTTGTATCCCTTCAGGACCTGTTCCTGGCCAGGGTCGGAAGCCCGGGACTCTCCCAGCAGACACTTTGTATCCCTTAAGGTTTGCGCTGCCTCTGACTCACCTTGGGCCACTTCCTTCCCCTCCACGGGGGGCAGGAGCCAGAGCTGCAAGGACCTCATGCCGCCGGCCCTCCTGAAAGCCGACCAAACCCAACTATCAGCTGAATAGTTCAAGAGAGAAAATGAAAAGCTAGGAAGGACCTCATCAGTCAGTCACTCCAACACCCCTCCAATACTACAGAGGAAGAAACTGAGGCCCAGAGAAGCGAAATGATCCATCCAAGATCAGAAAAGGCTTTGTAGACTCCACAGAGCACTCTTCCCTCTCAGGCTTTGAACTAGTCCAAGTATGGGCAGCTGGAGATCGAAGCGGATAGTGTCTGGCCTGTAGTCAGGAAGACATCTTCCTGAGTTCAAATCTGGCCTCAGAACACTTACTAGCTGTGTGACCCTGGGCAAGTCACCCTGTTTGCCTCAGTTTCCTCATCTGTAAAATGAGCTGGAGAAAAAATGGCAAACTCCTCCAGTATCTCTACCAAGAAAACCCCAAACGGGATCCCGGAGAGTCGGACAAGACCGTACAACAGGAGGGCAGCAGGAGAAGGCAGAGATCCGATTTTCCCTGACGCTTTCTAAAATGCTCTTGGACCAACATGATGCTTGGGCGTGGTCACGCAGTTTTCCCAGAAAGGGCTTTCGACTGCCATTCTCTCCCACCCTCAACAATCACCAGGAGGGCCATGCTATTTTCCATATCCCACAGATTAGAAAACTGAAAGCCAACTCGGGCTCAGCAAACATCTGTCGGAAAAATCTCTCCTATGTACCAAAGACAGCCAGGCTGGCTTCCAACCCACATCTTGGCTAGATCAAATGCCCTTTGCATTACACCACACTGCTCCCAATCGTCAAGGCTGAAACAAACAAGAGTGCAGAATCAAGGGAGTGGGGACGTGGAGGGGGCATTTTTGGGGGGGGAGGGGGGCTGGAAAAGAGAAAAGTCACGGAGGAGGGCTAACTACCCCCAAACGTCTGAATATTTGCCGCCATGCCTGCAACACCAGGAAGACTGGTCCAAAAAGGCTGCCATGAGCAAAGAACTTCAAACACCTTAAAGGGCTGAGTCTACATGGGGGTTACTTTACTAGGTCTGCACCCCAAAGAGAAAAAAAACAAAAGGGAGAAGGGCCCACATGTACACAAATATTGACAGCAGCTCTTTCTGTGGTGGCCAAGAATTGGAAATCGAGGGGATGCCCATTAGTTGGGGAATGGCTGAACAAGTTGTGGTAAAGGACTGTGATGGAATACTATTGTGCTATAAGAAATGATGAGCAAGATGATCTCAGAAAAACCTGGACAGACTTACATGAGCTGATGCACAGTGAAGTGAGCAGAACCAGGAGAACACTGTAGACAGTAACAGCAACATTGTAACACTGATCAGCTGCGAATGACTTAGCTCTTCTCAGGCAATACAATGATCCAGGACAATTCCAAAGGACTCATGATGAAAAATACTACCCATCTCCATGCAATTCCAACACAGAATGAAGCAGCTTTTTTTTTAACCTTCTTTTTGTCTATTTTCCTTCACAACATGATTAATATGGAAATCTTCTGCACGACTGCACACGTATAACCTGTACCAAATTGCTCACCATCTCAGAGAGGGGGAAGGGAAGAAAGGAAGAATTTGGAACTCAAAATTAAAAAAAAATATTAAAAATTGTTCTCACACAATTGGGGAAAATATTTTCTTAAAATGATAAAAGAGGGGAATAAAGGAGTTACTGGTTCTTACAGTTAAAAAAACAAGTCAACCCAAATAAGTCTGTTAGAAAATTCTAAGTCCCCAGAAGCAGGGCTGCACGAGCCAGGAATTAAGGATGGGGCAATCTGTAGTGCTGTCTGTCATTCGCTGTCTGATCATATCCAACTCTTGGTGACTCCATTTGGGGTTTTCTTAGTAAAGATATTGGAATTGTTTGCCATTTCCTTCTCCACTTTACAGATGAGGAAACTGAGACAAATAGGGTTAAGCGACTTGCCCAGGGCCACACAGCTAGTTAAGTGTAAGAGGCCAGATTTGAACTCAAGCCTGGTATTCATCTTCTGTGCCACCTAGTTGCCAATGGGCACTAGGTCTTTCATACAGGCTGCATTTCTGGTACCGTGGAGGGCCTGGAGCTGTTTAATAACTGGTCCCAGGGAGTCATTATAATTTAATAGCACTACACAATCCCACATGACACTTTCACATAAATGAGCTCATTTGATCCTCACAACCAGATAGCTAGTGCCAAGCATCATTCCCATTTCACAGATGAGCAAACAGGTTAACTGATCTGCTTAAGGTCACACAGCTAGTAAATAAGTGAATTATGGAAGCCTCCAGTGGCGCAAATGAATGAGCACAGCTGGTGACTTCCTCCTAATAGGGCCAGTTCACATGGCTCCTCATTGGTACAATGTCCTTACTATTAATGAGGCGGAGAAACTGAAGCCTGTGCAATCACTGACTGTTCATCCCCTCCCACGAACTCCAGCTACTGGCGGAGAAGGGCGCCACCCTGCAGTAAACTCAACTTTTTAACTTTGACCAGAAGTCTTATGTCACGTGAGAAGCGTTCTGGCAGAGAAGTCATTGGATAAAATCTCACCCTACAATCCCCCAAAACTGGGGGCAGGGGGGAGAGGTGTGGCACATGGAGAGAGAGGCCCAATGTTCAAACTCTGTGTCTGAGGCTGTGCCCGCCTAACCTAGCCCTGGGCTTCAGCTTCTTCATCCGAGGGTGCCACACTGCATGCACTCAACTGTCTCTCCCACATGCCAGCTAGGATCTTTTACAAAAGCTACGTGATAAAAGCTACTCTACTGGAGAGAAGTGAATTCATCAACTGAAACAGGCTTTGCCACGCTAAAGGTGAAACCAAGCACAGGACAAAAGCAATTTCTGCAGGCAAAGACTATTTGTATTTTACTTGCCAGCTGACTTTTCCAAGGTCACACACAGCTGGGAAATGGCCATTCGAGGTCCAAGTTCTAGGGTGGGCACACGGGCCTGAGTGTGAAGAGCAATGAGGCACGTCCCCTAGACCATTCTATCGGAGGGTGGGCATTCATCTCACTTTACAGAGAAGGTGGCTTGCCTAGGGTCAAGGAAGGGATGGGGGCTTTTTTAATAGGCAAAAAACCTTCAAGTTGCAGTGAATTAGAAGAAACAGCATTGCCCTGTAGCAGCATTTAGACTCATTCATAATAACAACAGTTGGCATTTATAGAGTGCCCACCGTGTGCTAGGCCCCGTGTAAGGGTGTTACAATTATTATTTCGCTTGATCCTCACAACCACCTTGTGAAGGAGGTGCTATTATCATCCCCACTTTACGGATGAGAAAACTAAGGCAGACAGAGGCCGACTTGCTCAGGGTGTCACACAGCTGGTAAGCGTGAGGCTGGCTTTGAATTCAGGTCTTCCTGCCTCCAGGCCTGGTGTTCTACCCACCAAGCCATCGAGCTGCCTCCATTAAGTCCAGATTGTTAATAAGAGAATGTGCAGGACCCCTGCAGTCCAGACCAGTTTTTGATCAACTGTGAAAATGTCAGCCAAGTATAGGTGAGTCACCGGAACAAGAAAAATAGAGACGCGAGAAACATGAAGCTCCGAATTCCACTCCTCTGAGCCCCACGTTGAAGCCATCCTTTGGGCGACTGCTCTGCCTTCATTTAGAATCCCCACCACCGTGGGAGATGAGAGGCCGTGTGCTACGGTGGAGCGGGAAGAGCTGGGACCCCAGGAATGTTGCAAAGCCCCCCTCGCCTTCACCCTCGGCTCTGCCCCGTGATGGCTGCAGGAGGTCCTAACTTGGAAGCGCCCACCCCGGCAGAAGCCTGAGGCCTCAGGCCAGCCCCCAGCTCCCAGGCTGTGCACACAGGAACCCTGACCCCGCGCTCAGGCAACGGTCAGCGTAACCACGGCTCGTTCTGGGGGTGTTTTATTGGCAGTGGAAAAGGATTCAGTACTTTATTGAAAGAAAGCAATAAATAATACTGTGATAAAAATAGTCAAAAGTAGGCTGTACATACTTTGTTACATAATCAGAAAGTTCACAAGATTAATAGAAAAACAACAATAACGATGAGTTATACAAGTACATTAAAAGCAGAAATGAATAGGAAAAAGACATGCTATATATATATGCACATATGTATATATTTATATCTGGATCTATCTATATATATACACACACATACATATATATATAGTTGCATAATAAATAATGCACCATGATCTACACCAGTTTCTCGTTGGCTTTTTAATGTGCCATTTTTAAAAGTAAAAGGTACATTCTCTACAGTTTGAAATGTAATGGCTATACCATTAAAATCTCAAAAACGTGTCCAGACGCAGACGTTAAACAAATTGACCAACAAATGCTGAAAGACGACTGACGAGCACAGTAAGGCCTGGATTGAAGGTGGCGCTGCGTCCCTTGGCAGGGGCCGGCCTTGAGACTGCAGCACGCTGTGATTGGTCCTCGAAGAAATTGCATCAGAGCCTCTCAACCAATGGCGTTGGGAGGAAAGCACTTCTTTGCGGGCTGGGGGCAGGGGCGCTCCCCAGGTCTGTCCTTCCTGGCTGAGAGAATTCTTCTCTGTTCATGGCTTATAGCAATCACTGAAGACAAGTTATCCAAGGAGGAGAGACTCAGCGCCCAGGGCATCCTGAGCCAGGTTTTTCTAGAACAACTCCACAGTGTTCTAATGTTTCTCAGTTCAAATTTTAGTACAGAAGATGATGTTTAAAATACAAAATTTAAAATCAGTCCATGCTACAGAATGAAAAATTTCTTTTCAGAAAAAGATCAGCTGTGATCAGTAATTAAATCACACACCATAACTGCTCGCAATGAAAAGTCTGATTGTTTCAAAACGGTTGCGGCTGCTTGCTTTTTGAAGCATTCGTTAAAAATGCATTGATGATGCCTACCTAACTCCTTGGTAATAGGGCACTTTTTACAAATTTCTGTCAGGTTTATTTTAAAAAATTAAACAATGATCATTACAATAACTGCACAATTTACAAAAAGCCCTATTTGCTCATAGGATTTATACTTACAAGTATTACAGTACATTCAGTTGACTAACAAATTAAGTATAAGAACCTCATGAATTGATTGGAAAAGATATTTATAATCTGGATACACATGAAAAAGTAAGTAACTGTATAAATGAAGTCACATAAGTTTACATAAATATAAGAAACATTTAATTCTAAAATATTTTCTCTATGGTATTCATGAATTTTTTTACTAATTAAAAACTCTGTAATAAAATATCTCATTGTCCATATAACAAGTATTAACAGATTAAAGATCCACTCAATTCTAAAATGTGGTCTTGGCTGAGCTCAGAACGATGCATAATCATCTGTAGAAGTAGTGTGGGTAAACTAGGAGGAAAAAAAAACAACACGCCAATGAGCAGCTACCAGCCAGAGGCCAGCAAAGAAGCCAATCAAACGTCCACATCCCAGCCCACGCAACTTTCTTTGAGAATGAATTACCAGAGCAAAACCCACGTTTTTTCCTTACAAGAAGGCTGTCCCTAAACAAAATGACTGGGGTGTGTCAGCACGTAGACAGCACCGAACAGAACCAGCCTCACTTGGGAACTTTCAAAAAGCAAGTCTGCCCACGCAGTGAGACCCAAGACTGGAGCATCTTCAGCCCTGTGACCAAGGGCCCTGGGCCTCAGGATTTTGTTCCACAAACCCCAAACCACTGCCACGAGGCCACAAGCCAACGACCCACAGCTCTGTGTCCAGTGCCCAAAAACCCACGTTTGAATGGCCCTCGTCCTCCCTGACTGCACCGTGGGATGCTCGACAGGGGACTGCCACAGCGCCTCCCTGAACCCAGGGGTGTGGCGGCTACAATCTTCAGTAATATCTGCCAGGAAGAATGCGAACCTACAAATCATACCAGGGAGGAGTCTCGCAGCATCAGTGGAGTTTAGATTTCAAATGAATGTAACTGAGTATGGCCCACTTAGCATTTGCCTTTGTCACCTGGGAACCTAAATTAGGCTCTGTTCCTAGGAAGAAACGTGCTGGGGATCAGGGGCTAACTCCAAATGAATTGGCCTGTCCAAGTCTTAGGGAACAGCCACTTTCCCTGCCAGAGGAAGCATCAGCTTTCCTGAGCAGACACTGGAAAGAGGCAAGACAAGGCAGTTGCAGAGCAGTGGCACGGGGCATGCTCACTTGGCCGGGTCTCTGAAAATACGGGAGAGAACTCTCCAATTCCTCTAGTCCCTGACCCCAGTGCAGCTGGAAGTGAAGAGTGACCTCAGGACCTCGAAAGTACAACATGATGTAAAATGTTAAAAAATGGAATGCGTGACTGACTTGGAGAACTGTGGTCTGCCGGGCACCCCCTTCCACTCCACAGAGCCAACGGAGCGCTAACGCTGCGTGCAGGCAGCCGGCTGCCCCAAGCTCAAGCTCGGACTGGCGTCCGCTGGGCACTTGGTGGGTGCCACGCTCTCGCTACTCACCAAAAGAAGGCTTTAACAGGAATAAGTCCTTACGGTCGCAGAATCCAACCTCTGGCTTCCTGACACACTGCCTGTTTCAAGAGCGCAGGAGGAAAGCGTGCAGAACACAGCATGCAGTTAGTCTTTAGAACCACCTGAGTGAGGACAGTTACAAAACATTCTGGGACAGCAGCAGCGCCTGTCCCCAGAGGCGAGTGGAAGGGGGCTCTCTGGGGAGGTGTGGGAGTGAATGTGCTGGAAGTGAACAACAGCTGATCACCAGACGCTGGCTCCAGGGCTCTCTATGGGGCCCCCCCCCACCCCCAGGAAGCAACTGCAGGGAGCATTTGGGGAAATCCCTTTCCATCTCTCCATCTGCCATCTGAACCAACTGTCACTGGGGCTGAGTGTCAGATGAACAGAGAAGAACACAGCCCAAAGAAGACAGGTCAGCGCACCGGGGGAGTCAGATGACTAGTTACGAAGAAAGACCAACATCTCAGTGAAGAAAGACGCGAGAGACCTCAAAAAGAAAAACCACTGCTGATGCTATAAATTGGGTGGAATACTCCAAGTCAGTGTGCTTCTCTTTTTCTTACCCTATGGGTCATCAAAATCACTTTGAAATGCACCATTTGGCACGAACAACTTAACTGCTCAATGTGCTCACACAACGCGGCAGCTCTGGAAAGGCACAGGATAGCCACAAACATACTTGAAAATGGTGTGACCCCATAAATCCTCATCCACCTGCAGCTTGGGCCCCACCCCTCCCCTCACCTCTATGACGGCCCCTGCACCGGAAGCCACAAGCCAACCAGGAAAGCTGGTGTTAATGATAAGTGGCACGATGGCAGTGGTGACCCTGACAGAGACAAGATTGCACAGTAAGTGACGTCCCCGAGAATCCGTCCCCGGGAGACAGTGAAGAGAGAAGGCCAAGGGGCCGCTGCAGAAGAGAAGAGGTCCGGCCCGGCCCGGCCCCAGCAGCCATCGCAGCAGAAGGCATAGAAGCAAGCACGGAGACAGGCCCGAGAACAGCCTGTGCCAATGCTTTTAGATTGATTTCCTCCTAGGTACATTAAAACCTTGAGAACTTCAGAGAAGATCCAATCTGGTTTTGAAAAGGTCCTAGATTCTGAATCTGACACCCTGAGAGGAACGCCCCGAGGTTCTGAGGCCATTCTGAGAGCTGCGCCCCTGGACAAAGTGTCCAGGAGCCACACACACAAGGCCACACCCAGAAAGCCACTCCCTTTCCCAGAATGCACGGCTGTCCTGAAAAATGCTCCAGGACACCCAGAGGTGGTGAGAATTGGGGTTCAAAGGCTGTTCTCGGTCAAACGTGCTTCCATTTGAGTGTGTGCAGTTTCCTTTCCTTTGAAAGCTGGTCTGAATCTATCTGCATCCTTAGGCTTTAGTGAAACTACTAGGTAAAGACTTGTAACTAAAACAAAAGGCCTGGCCCAAGGTCATCTTCTGACCCTAAAAGTGCCCAAGAAAGGACCAGGTGAATTGGAGCTATTGTTTTCTTCTAAGAATGATGGACGGAGGAGACAACGGTAAGTGTCCTCCTCCCTTCTAAAGTAGCTAAAAGTATGTGAACAGGAAAACTCAGCATGTGGCTACTCCTGAAAGGCAGGCCACCCACCAAGGAGTGACTGACAGAGAGGAGGCAGCCTGAGGACTCTGGGGGCAGTGGCGTGCCAGACAGGCCCTTCCAGGGGTAAGCCTGGGCTCTTTCCCCAAAGCTGTGTGAGGGTCTGCTGGGCTCCGGCAACAGGGGAGAGACCTTTTGTCCACAGCAGTAGAGAGAAAAGGTGAAGAGGGGCTGATACCTGTATTGGTGGATGAGATGCACACCAAGGGAATCAGAAATGCCTCAAGGACTGAAGCCACTGTCCCATAAACATACGAGCCCGGAGAGGGGCAAGAGAGTTCCTCTCAGAAGATGGATGCACAGGACAGTGGTGAGGGTGGTGAGAAACTAAATGAGAAGTGGTGAGCTCAGGACGCCAGTCAAAGTCAGGCAGGACTTCCTTGCCCTGGGGATGCTGGCATGAACAGAAGGCAGAGACTACAAGTACTCTAGAGGAAATTCTTGATGGTCAAGGGAAACATTTCAAGTCAGCACATGCAACAGGACATAAATGCTTTAAAACTTATTAAACAGGCAAATTTAGATAATTAAATAACTTGCATTCCAACTCAAAAAAAATCTGAGCATGCTTTAAGAAATGAAAACTCTGACCACCTACCATCCATCTGCATTTTCTTTGGCTGCATAGAGGGTGAAGACATAGACGAGGTGACCCTGAAATTTGCAGGGAGGGTCTCTGCCGATCCAGCAGCTAATCCTCGAATGTCCTTGGGTCTAAATTTTTTTCTCCATGAAGGGGCTCTGCGAAAGCTTTTATCATCATCCTGGAAAATTCAGGACCACGGTAAAAATCCTGGAGAAAGCTGGGCCAACCCTTTCCATCCACTTCACCTACACACAGGCCAGGCTCTACAAACACCACATTTGGTCATTGGTACCCTTTGAGTCCTGTCCAAGCACAAGGAATTCTTGAGGCTGCATGAACTTTTTCAGGGACAACAGGCCCTCGGGTCCATCCCTGCAACCAGCACTCAGTCTCACATGCCTCCCAAGACCTCTGCTTGTGCTTGTCTGGAATCCCAGAAGGACACCGAAGAGGCTGGCCCAGGAAGGTCTAACACCTCCATTTCCAGAGGAGGAATGAGAGGGACACAGGAAGCTGAAGTAATATTCCATCAAGTCTCTCAACATTTTATAACCTGTGGTCACATCCTGTCCCGATCTTCATTTCTCAGGACTGAAAACAATCCAAATGTTAATAATCTACCTTTGAAAGTCCCTGCCTTCTTAGCCTGGCCCAATCCATCCCTTGGTTAGCTAGGACTGTCTGGGGACTGTTCTGCCTGGCTTTCTGACTAGGGCAGCATTCTGGGCCGTCCCCAGTGACTCCTGTACCTCCTAGAGGGTAAGAGAGCGCTCTGGGGAGATGGGGAAGTATATGACAGAGTCAGAATGAACAGCACACGCTTTCAATTCACGGGAAACAAGCAAACTCTTCCCAAATCTCTTTCAGGCCTAGAGGGACAAATGTCAGAATTCAAACAGGAAAAACCCTGCTTAGGTGAAAAAGTCACAGTGTTCTAATGTCTGTTTTAATTATAAAATTTACAAAAGCAGGGAAAACATGTGCTCAGTGGCAAATCCACAGGGACTCTGTCCCCAGAGACGGTATCTGGACACCAGTAACATCCCCGATACTGACCAGACCTTCCCCCTCAGAAACTGAGCTCACAACCCATGTTTGCTGAAAATCTCTCAAACTTACTTCCTCAAACCTTCTGTCAGTGCCCATAACTAGAAGGTTATTGAACTCTCTTTCCAAGACAGCGCGAGCCTAAGGGAAAAAAACAGACAAACAAAAAACCCCCAAAACAGGGTTTTCATTATTCTTTGGAGAAAACAGTAGGGATTGGGGGGGTGGGTGGCTTTATTTTTTTTTTGGAACCTCTAAACATGTCACATAACATGTTAAACCACAACCATACTCCTCAAGCAATCTCCCTACAGAGGCAAGATCAGAACGGGCAGCTGGGGAGCAACTCGACAAATCCTTCCTTCTCGCCACCAATTCCATGCCATCCTTATAGACGTCTCCCCAAAGGTCCCCTCTGGGCAAGAGGCCCAAGGCGAGACAGAAATGAGATCATTCTGTTGGTCACCAAGGGCACAGGCCATGGTGGCTAAGGGGGCAGGTGTGAGAGCGAGCCAGGAAAGGGGAATGAAGGCAGGGGGACTCCGCCATGGCCTGTCTGTGTGGAGGATGCCACTGGGGCTCTGGGCAGCCCGGGTGGGGAAGGGCCTTTAGACCACAAGAGGAAGGGATGTTGTGCAAGAAGCACGGTCGTCATTTTTAAGGATCCGAAGAGTCTGCATGGAGAAGGGCATTTATAGACAGACTGTCTGTGAGGGGCGATGAGGAGAAGACAAAGAGCCCTGTTAAGAATGAGAACTCGGTGCGATGGCCCGCCGGCCACGGGAGGCAGGGGCCTGGCGCCAAGGGAGAATGGACGGACTCAGTGTACACTGTGGTGACTCCAGGGGGGTGACTCTGCCGGTCAGTCAGACACACTGGCTCGGTCGCAGGCTCACCTGTGTGTTCTGAGTGGGGATCTGCAGCAGGAGGGCCAGAGCGTTGAAGTCAAAGGTCTCGTCTAAGGCCACCAGCGCGCCGTGGACGCCGCTTTCCACCAGGTTGTTTGCATACTCTTTGAGGCCGATGGATAAAATCCAGCGAATCACCCGATCGTTGCTCCAAACAAGCACCTCTAGAGAAGGACATGAAGAGAGGGGACGTCAAGGGGCAGCCTGGCTGGGCCCACACCCTGGGGAGCCAGCGAAGGACCCTTCGCAGGTGCTCGCGCCATCCTGATTATCAACACTAATACTGCTGAGAGATCACCTAGTCTAGAACCTTCATCTCTGTGAGAGGAACCTGAGGCCGGGGAGGCAGGGAATATGCACACAGACAGCACCTCCTCTGCGCCACGCCCTGTGCCAAGCACGTCACAGTTCTTGCTCCTGGCCTGCCAGACCCTCTCCCCGACGCCGGCCCAGGCCAAGAAACGAGCACCCTGGAGAAGCCGGTGGGGGCCCAGATTCCACGCAAACCTTTGATTTCATTCTGACTTTCTTCTCTTCTCCTTTCTAGTTCCTTCCTATCGTAATTCAGTCTTCGCAGACACATGATTCCACACTGGAAGCTGTTTCTGTTTGGAAAAGGGTAACACTCAGAGGCAGCCCTGGGCATGGATTTCTGCCCCATCAGTCACAGCTCCTTCAGTCATTTACCTGTGAAAACTGTCCACCATCTTGAGCTGTCCCCGCAGGTCTTTCTTGGTTAGATGGTCAAGCATCCGAGCGTCCACAAGACACTCCATGAAGTAACTGCGATACTGAGGAAGCCCCAGGCTGGGCAGCCACTCATTGCCAATCCACTCGTGATTCATGTCGCCATAGGCCAACGTCTGCTTGAGAAAAGGTATCAGAGAGTTGCTAAGGAGAAACTGAGTCAAAGAACCAAACAACTATTACATTAATGTCTATCAAACTGCCTTTCTATTTTTCATAGCTAGAAGAACGCATCGCTTCGCATCCTTCATTTTACAGAATGTGTCTGCATCTAAAGGGTGACCTGGTGCTGTATGGTGGTAAGGACATTTCACTCTAGTGGCAATTATCGATTAGACATTGTATTTCCTCCATCATCTGAACAGGTCTGAGGTACTTCTGCATTTGAAAACATACACCTCCTTTCACAGAATCATAACAGAATACAGTCATAGCCCCTGAATCTCATTAACTGTTGAACTACAAAGAAGGGTCATGACTCATGAACAGCTTGAAAAGATTAGCCAGTCTGACTTTTTAAGCACATGATGGGAGGAGAATGATTCCATCAGGAGTTGTCTGTGTCAGCTATAAAGTGTGAATCTTTCCTGTGGAAGTCAAGGGCCCACAGACCCTGTATGCTCTGGTACAATAAGAGATTCTCTGTGAATAGGGCAGCTTGGCAGAGCAGACACTGCCCTGAGCTTGGGATCAGGAGTCCTGGGCTCACATCTTCCCTCAGGCACTTACACAAGTCACTTAATCTCTGAGAGCCTCAGTTTAGTCATCTGTAAAATGGTGATAATGCTGCTCGTTGTGAAGAAAGGGCTTTGCCAAGCTTAAAGAGCACTGTCTTTGTGCATGTAATTACACATGTTCTCTTGGGGCAGATGCAGGAGGCCTAGATGGTTCTGGTCTGGACACCAACAAGCAAGACCAAACTCTCCAGGGACCGGACTTTCACCACAGCTCAGACTATTCATGAGCACCCCTCTAAAAGACCCAACACCCCCGGGGGACACACAAAGGCTGGAGGGCTGGCCTCTTTCTGGCTGACCATTTCCTACCCAGACTGGGCCAAGAAACAAAGCTGCCTTCCAAAGAGCTGGGCAAAGTGACTGCTGGCGTTGTCTGATCTTCTGTCACATCCACGACAAACTTCATTCTGAAGCACGACCTGGGGGCCAATCATGAGCCCTCAAGCACTGCTGCCACTTGTGGTGCTCAGACGAGGCCATCCTCAAATGGAGGCTGGCTGGGCTGTCTCAGGACCTTCCTAATGGACTGACGGACGGATGCCGGCAGTAACACAGCAGCCTTCGGCCATACGCACACAACCTCACCTCACCGGCCTCCTGGAGTAGTGTGGATGGCCCAGGGCCAACGTTATTTGCTATGGGGGAGTCTGCATCCAGAGGCTGCTACCTATCAAGAAAGGATGAGCCTCCTTCCATCTCTGTGACCTGCTCTGTGGCAGATTTCTTGAAGAAGGCCACTCATGGAACCTTTCTGAGTGGCAGCTGGGCAAACTATTGCCAGAAGAACATGCTACGGGCGATGTACACTTCGTATTCAAACACAGGAAGGAAAAATACACCAAATGGTATTCAAAAGCAGTGACGTAAAGTGGAAAGAACACCGGCCTGAGAGTTGGAAAACGGCAAGCTAAGCCCTAACTCTCGCTGTGGTTATGGCACTCGGCTAGGAGCTGGAGAGAGATACAAAACCTGCCCTCAAGAAACTTCTACTCTACGTGGGAGATACCAGGAACATCAGGAGGCACAGAGTCCATGGGAGGGGAGCACACCGGCACCTGGAAGGTCTGGGAAAGGCCTTGGTCGAGCTGAGTCTGGAACTGAAGGGCCTTCCAGACACCCGTGCAAAGGGAGGAGAAGAAGGGACAGGTCTGGCTTGTATCTGGAGAAAACCAACGTGCAGGCGTATTAACTGGAGAACTGTGGAGGCAGAGGCTACAAGAGCCGAAGACTGCTGGGACGCAGAGGATGAGGATGACGAAGAACAAGAGCAGAAGGACTCCAACAGAATTCAGCTCTCTGACCTTCAAGTTTCTCACCCGCAAAACGCAGGCAGTTGAAGCTGCATTCCTCCCAACACAGAGATACAGGAAGGCAAACACGCTGTGCGGGTACATGTAAAACGTAAGGGACCAGACGTATGTTAAAGACTGACAGCCAATCCTAGTTACTGTTCCTCGCCCGCCTTGTCTGTAAGATCTCTGTTACAAAGAATACTAACATAAATCAAGTCTGGGGCTTCTAAGCCATGTTTATAAGAAAATGAAATTCAAATGTGACTGAATTTAATTTCCTGTTGTGAAAAATGAGCCCGCACTGAACGATCATTACGGATCAAAAAGAACTTGCTGAGTTAAAATCTCACCCAGACCAAGATGAATTTGCCTGGTGAAGATGAGAAAAGAACACGTGGGAATTTCCTGACAATACTCCTCCTGAACTTGGGTCGGATGTGATCCGAACCATTACAAAATTAAATGAGGCTAAATCACGAAGGATTCCAAGCTAAGCCCCAGTTTGGTAATAAAAGAGGGTTCAGCAAAGATGTCTCTGCTGCATGAAGGGAAAGGTCAATCTCGTAACTACGACATCCCGGCACGCTTTACCCTAGCTACAGCCACAGGTCCACGAGACCTTGGGGCTCTTAGCCCTGGTCAACAGCTCTCCAGCAGAAACAAAAGCCATTTTCTCAGTGGCAATGATGTGAGATAAGAGGCCTGACCACCGGCTTTGCACCTGCTCCCTTAGGGCCCCGGGACCTTTCCATCTAATCTGCTGCAGAAGCCCCGTCTATGTGTCTCCTCCAGGGGAGTGAGAGGTCCAAGTACTGACTGTCTGCCCTACTTGTCCATTTGAACCATGCCTGGAACTAGTAAGATGTCAAACCTGCTATATGCACCATTGCTATCACTGAGGACAGAGGATATGTCCTGGGAAAGGACCCACAAAACAAAAGGAATCAGAAAGCTGGCCGTCCCCTCAGTTCTCTTCCTGCTCATTAATCCCCACGGGTTACGTGACTTCTCATACGCAGATGGCCCCCACACCCCTGCGGCCTAGGCTTGTCACCTTAGTCATGGGAAGCCTGTCTGTGGATAGAGCCTGGGCTCTGGAGCCTAAGGTCCTGCTAAGCTGACGGGGAAAACTGTCTTCAGATGCATCCCTTCCTCACCAAGTACCCTCCCCTCCAAGCCCCTTCCTTGAACTGTTTCCACAGCCTCCCTATTGGATTCCTTCTCTCACGTACCGCCCCTACACTACCGATTCTCGTGTCTGTCGTGCAACTTCCCAGTTGGGTTCCAAACCATCCTTCCAGACGCTCCCCGACTTGGTCCCTTCCGTGCCCTCTTCGTTCCAGCCAAAACAGACTGACGCTACAGCTCTCAAGCCCATCCCCTGCGCCCTGCCCCCTGCACGGGTTAGCCTTCCTCCGACGAGGCTGCATTCCACATGCCCCACATGAGAGACACCTTCTGCAGCGACTTCCAAGTCCACGGTGTGGCCTCCAACAGAACACAAGCTGCTCACGGAGGTCTGGCCGGGAGGGTTTGATTTTTGTCTTTATAGCCCACGGTGCCTTCTGCACAGCAGGGTCTTAATAAACATGTTGCAAGACGACTGGAAGGTTGTAGACTGTTTAACTGAGATGCTGAAAGACGACTGTAAGAAAGGGCTTCCTGACCTTCCACAGTAAGAACCCCTATGCATCCAATTCTGATGTCAGGGATCGTGGGAACAACCTAATTCTATAGATGACTAAACAGAGGCTCAAAGAAAGAGTAGGTGACCTGTCCAACATCACACGAGTCCTTCGCTGCCCAGCTTGAGCCAGGACCATGTTCCCTAACTCCCTATTCAAGGAAGCACGCTGATGTCTGCTCAGCTCAGTGAGACAAGACTTCCACCAATAAGGCTGTGTGTGCGTCTGTGTTTCTGCCTTCAGAATGGACTAGAGGAGGATCTCCTTCTCCCTTCCCCTCACAGAGCATACAAAGCTATTCCTATAATTAAAAAAACAACACCAACAGCAGTAAAATAAGATCCCTCCCCACCACCAAAGAACTATAACTTCAGGAGATGTCTAGGCATCAGGCCCTTTTTGAATCACATATGATATTTAAATGAAAATTTGCGTCAATCACAAATTTTCATCAAAATTACACCTGAAAGATTTTCAAAATTGTCCATGAGACATTAACTACTCTTTTAATCAAAGGGTTGGGACTGTCGGACAGTTTTGATTTATGTTTGAAAATCACTAACAGTTTTCAAGTGATTAGGATGCTGATGACATCAAGAAAGGCACAAGCTTCCATGCATTCACTGGTTGGGGGAATGTATGTAAACATGATAAGGAACGAACTAGAGAAAGTCTCCAACCTGAGCCCAGCTTCCCTCCTCATCGTCCTGATGTTACGTGGTTAAAAAAGCAAAAGGATACAACAATTAGTAATGGTAAGTTCAGAGATACAAGCCAGTAAATGCTGTCGTACTCATGCAACTTAACTGTAAGCAAAATAAGTTCAATGACAAAGGCACCATGCGATAACCATGCAAAACAACTGGCATTCTCCACGCAGATAAAGAGCAGGGCTTTTTCCCCATATACCAAACACCTCTACGGAAAGAAAGAAAAATGAAGGAAGGAAGGAAGGAGAGGAGGGAAGAAGGAAGGGAGGGAGGGAGAAAAGGAAGGAAGGAAGGAAGAAGGAAGGGAGAGAGGAAGGAAGAGTCTTCAGCTTAAATTAGCAAGAAATTAGTAAATAAATTAAGACTCTCTGAGAAGAGTTAAAGTCACACGATTAATTTCAGGGCACTAAAAATTCACACAACATCAACGATGATTCTGATTTTGAACAATTAATACCCAAAAAGGAGTAATTGTCTTCAGTAAGTCCACATCGGTTTTGTGGGCCCACAAACCAAACAAGAAGAAGTACCAGCACTGACCGTGTGAGGCGCTGCTGTCAGGTTTTCCATTTCTTCATGTGTTAACCAGACATTGCCCGTGGTCTGACGTGACCCCGGTGACAACAAGTCACATCCCACGAAAGGAAAGCAGTAACAAAGAGGAAAGGGTGGGTTGCAGAACATAAGCAACAGGGACATGTCAGGCTTCGGGGCTCAAGCTGCAGCACTCACAGCCCAGAGATGACGTCCCTAACATAAGGACACCTGCCCATGCTGCTTTATCGATAAAAGGTGGAAAAGCTTCAGACTCCCAGAAGCCTTTCAGGTGTTCAAAAGTTAAACACTAAAGGTCTTCTCTTTTTAAAGGATGATTTTATCAAAGAGGTAACGCCTGAGGATTTTACATTTAAATACTTTCTTTTCAGTGTATTTAAGTGGTCTAAAAAATATGATTATGCAGCTGAATTCAAGATCACACAGCTGTCATTCACTATGCAACTGCATTCTAAAATGTGGTAAGTGGGGGCAGCTAGGTGTAAAGTGGATAGAGCACCAGCCCTGGAGTTAGGAGGACCTGAGTTCAAATCCAGCCTCAGACACTTGACACTTACTAGCTGTGTGACCCTGGGCAAGTCACTTAACCTCATTGCCTAGCAAAAAAAAAAAAATCAAAAAACAGAAATGAAATAAAATAAAATGTGGTATGTGATCAATAAATACCAATTCTGTATTATTTTAAAATCACAGGAAACCCACTTTCTCTGTTTCTTAGATTTAACATTATAATCCTGGTTCACATAAAGACTAAAATTAACTGTGATAACAAGTAACCAAAATGGAGGCATCTTAATATGAAAGCTAGTTAACTTCTAAAAATCTGCAGTTTTTAAAAGGCATCTCAAAGAATAACAGGTAAATAAAATGAAAGTATTTTTCTTTCAAAAAAAGTTCAAATGAGGTTTAAGCTGTTATCTGAACATAAAAAGACACATCATTGTGTACTATTATGATCATTTCCTTTTAAGAATAAGATCATGATTCTGTCTGTGGGGAAAAAAATTATTATGTTTAAATCAGCTGTGCTCATTCATTCTCTGAACATTTTTTGAAAGGAGATAACTTCATTCTGGTTGACTATAAGCCAAAGGAATTATCTTTTGGGAGAAGTGATCAAACTTCAAATGGTCAATATTTAAGAGTCTGACCGTGGGACTGAGCTTCCTGATCAATAGCCAAAACCTGGATACTGCAGAGAGACTGAATAAACTGAAGGCAGTCTTCCTGGTACTATAGATCTGATGGGCTGCATATGATAAACAAAACCACTAATTTGGACATACAGCAAGAGGGAAGAGGATGTGAAGAGCAATCTGCAATTTTTCAGCACCTGTTTTATTGTACAGTTAAATGTGACCTTAAAATCTTGTGTTCACTGGCTATGCCACCACACTGTACAAGTGTGAGCTCTACGATCTTACTTAGAATATTTTATTAGCAAACAGTCTTTTCATATGAGCTTTATTAAACTTCAGTCAATTCTACCTGACTGATCTTAAATTCTAATTAGTGAAGGCGAAACGAATCAAGTTAGGGAGGACACAGATATATCTACGCCATCAAATTTCTCCTTTCCTTCCTCAAGGGCAGTTTCCAGAAACTTTTACTGAATTTTTGTAAGAAGCTAACATGCAAACGTATGATTATGTTCTGTCCTGAAAATGTATTTCCAACTTTTTTAGGTCATCAGAATGCTATTCTGTCCAAGTTCTATGCGAGGACACTTCTAAAAAGTCACTTATTGAGACCCTACGAGGACAAGCAAGACACAGACTGTGCCTTCCTGTCAATCATCGTCAGCCCTACTCGGCTGCTGCTAGGATTCCGAATCTGTAAGGATGAGAACAGGAAGGGACGGCTGACTTTAACGAGCTCCTCTCTGACTCCCAATTGCTCACCGTTCTGGATGTGGGTGGGGCAGATGGACTCGTCAAGGACATGATTTCCTGAATGGCCAGCCTCAGCTTTAGCCTGTGCAGAGGATTGCTGATTCCAATCTCACGCTGTATTTCAGTATCAGACAGGGCAGACATGATGGCCCCACTTTTCACATTGGCTCGGCAAGCAGCTACGTACCACGCAGGCATCCCAACCCACAGCTGGAAAAAAGACAGCAAAACTGAGTATCACCCCCAGTCCAGAGGATGGATTTAGACACGATGAAATGTACTACTAGAGTCCAAGGATATAAACAGACAGTTCTCAGATGAAGAAATTAAACCATCTGTAGTCACATGAAAAAATGCTCTAAATCACTATTGATTAGAGAAATGCAAATCAAAACAACTCTGAGATATCACATCACACCTATCAGATTGGCCAACATGACAAAACAGGAAAATGATAAATGTTAAGAGAAGATGTGGGAAAATTGGAACACTAATGCATTATTGGTGGAGTTGTGAAATGATCCAACCATTTTGGAGAGCAATTTGGAACTATGCCCAAAAGGGCTATAAAAATATACACACCTTTTAACCCAGCAATAGGGTTCTAGGGCTGTATCCCACAGAGTTCATAAAAATTGGAAAAGGACCCACATGAATAAAAATATTTATAGCAGCTCTTTTTGTGGTGGCAAAGAATTGGAAATTGAGGGGATGCCCATCCATTGGGCAATGGCTGAACAAGCTGTGGTATATGAATGTAATGGAATACTATTGTGCTATAAGAAATGATGAGCAGGCTGACTTCACAAAAACCTGGAAAGACTTGTATGGACTGATGCTGAGTGAAGTGAGCAGAACCAGGAGAACGTTGTACACAGTGACAGCCACGTTGTGCGATGACTAATATTGACAGACTTAACCTTTCTCAGCAATACAAGGATCTATGACATCTCCAGAGGCCTCATGATGGAAAATGCTGTCCACATCCAAAGAAAGAACTCTGGAGTTCGAAAGCAGATCAAAGCACACTATTTGACATTTTTTTTCCTTCTGTTGTGTTTTGTTTCCTCTTTGTAGTGGTCCTTCCTATTGGTTCTAATTCTCACTTACAACATCACTAATGTGAAAATATCTAATAGAAATGTATATGTAATAGCCTATATCAGAATGCCCGCCATCTTGGGGAGGGAGGTGAGGAGGAAGGGGGAGAAAAATTTAAAACTCAGAAACTTATGGAAGTGATGGTTAATAAATCAAAATAAATTAATTTTTAAAAATTAAATTAAATTTTAAAAAAGAAATGTACTACTAGCATTCCAGAAAAGCCTCCTTCCAGAGTTTTCCTAAACATCATTACCTCGAGCCACACAACCACAGTTGGCCCATCCCACTGGGCAAAAGGCAGGCCCTGTCTTCTCGCTTCCTCCAGAAGTTCATGCCTGAAAAATCAGAACAAAATAAAAAGCTGCATACGTTTGTAAAATATCGGAAAGGTGTTTACCAAACATCTGTGAACACCATCTCTGTATAAATTACACTTATTCCTCTTGACTAATTCCACACATCAGCAATATGACCAATGCAGAACTCTGGGTCCCACTAACAGAATTTGGTAGGTATTACAAAGTGTCACTGAATAACTGAAATCCTGGAATCCTCTTATCCGACTTCTAGAGTTCTCTCCTATTTGTAAACTGAAAATGAAAAAATTACTAATAATTTTGAAACGTCCCCAAAAGATAAATAAATAAATGATATACCAAATGGTATAAAGATAAATGGTCAAAGGTTATGAATAGGTAGGCCTAAAATGAAGAAATCTATCTTTCAGGAGACATGGCGGGGGGTAGCTAGGTGGCACAGTGGATAGACCACTGGCCCTGGAGCCAGGAGGACTTGAGTTCAAATCCAGTCTGAGACACAGAACACTCACTAGCTGCGTGATTCTGGGCAAGTCAATTAACCTCGATTGCCTCACCGTCCCCGTCCCCCCCCCCCCCCCAAAAAAACACATGAGGGTGAAGCCATGGTGGCAGAAGAAAGGCAGTGACTCGCCTGAGCTCTCCCCCAAACCCCTCTGGATACCTTTATGTCATGCCATAAAACAATTCGTGGAGCAGCAGAACCAACAAAAGGACGGGGTGAAATCATTTACCAGCCACAGACACCCTAGAAGGTCGGCAGGAGAAGTGTGGCATAGGGTGAGAGTAGAGTGCGGTCTAGTCCAGGCCCTGCCAGCAAGGCCAGGCCCCAGGAAGCCCGGAACCCGAAGCAGGCCTGGGCAGTCACTGAATCAGCAGCAGCTGCTTCTAAAACTCTCAGCTCACAGCCAGTAAGTAAGGGGGGCCAACAAGGGGCCAGAAGGAGATTCCAGGGGTCTCTCTGCTGGCACTAGGGACAGGACTCTGATCCAGGTCACAGTCCTGGGTGGCCGTCGCAGGGCGAGGAGGCGCGCCGGCACGGCAGAGCTCGCAGCCACAGTCAAGCGGGGACCCTCCTCACAGTTCCAGGGCAGAAAAGAGGGCTTGTGGTCACTCACAGGCCAGAGCACAGGCCAGGAGAGGAGTAAACACACCTCTCCTTAGACCATACCACCTTGGAAGAACTGAAAACTCACAAAACCCCTGAAGCTTGGAATAGTGCAACCTCCACCTTGGAAGCAGAGCCCCACTTTAGCAGAGTTAAAAGTCCAGAAATAGACTGGAAAAAATGAGCAAACAACAGAAAAAAAATTCTGACCATAGGAAGTTACGCTGGTGACAAGGAAGCTCAAAACACGCACTCGGAAGAAGATAACAAAGTCAGAGCTCCTACGTCCAAAGCCTCCAAGAAAAAGATGAATGGGTCTCAGGCCAGGGAAGGGTTCAAAACGGATTTTGAAAATCAAGTTAGAAAGGTAGAAGAAAAACTGGGAAGAGAAATGAGACTGATTCAAGAAAATCGTGAGAAAAGAGTCAACAGCTTGGTAAAGGACACAAAAAATTATACCTTAAATAACACCTTAAATAACAGAATAGGCCAACTGGTAAAAAGACATACAAAAAGCCAATGAGAAGAATGCGCTGAAAAATGGAAAAGTACCAAAGCTCACTGGAGAAAACACTTCCTTAAATGTGAGAATTTAGCAAATGACTTTATGACAAATCAAGAAACAATAAAACAAAACCAACAGAATGAAAAAATAGAAAACAGTGTGAGAGATCTCACTGGAAAAACAACTGACCAGGAAAAAAGATCCAGGAGAGAGAATTTAAAAATTATTGGACTACCTGAAAGCCATGATCAAGAAAAGAGCCTAGACATCATCGTTCGAGAAATGATCAAGGAAAACTGTCCTCATGTTCTAGAACCAGAGGATGAGAATCCATCAATCACCTCCTGAAAGAGATCCCCAAAGGAAAACTCCCAGGAATATTACAGCCAAATCCCAGAGTTCCCAGGTCAAGGGGAAAAGACTGCAAGCAACCAGAAAGAAACAACTCAATTATCACGGAACCACAGTCAGGCTAACACAAGACTTAGCAGCTTCTACATTAAAGAATCGAAGGGCTTGGAATATTGATATTCCAGAGGGCAAAGGAGATAGGATTACAACCAAGAATCACCTATCCAGCAAAGCTGAGTATAATCCTTCAGGGGATAAAGGGGACATTCAGTGAAATAGAGGACTTTCAAGTATTCTTGATGAAAAGACCAAAGCTGAATAGAAAATCTGACTTTCAAATACAAGATTCAAGAGAAGCATAAAAAGCAAAACAGGAAAGAAATCATAAGGGACATAATAATGTTATAAAAACTTTCTCATTGTTAGGGCAGTTAGAAAGAGTATATAGAGACAGAAGGCACAAGTGTGAGTTGAATATGAAGGAATGATATCTAAAAAAAAATAAAATTAAAGGGTGAGAGAGTAATGCACTAGGAGAAAGGGAAAGGTAGAATGGGGCAAATTATCTCATACAAAAGAGGCAAGAAAAAGCTTTTACAGTGGAGGGGAAGATGGAGATGGTAAGAGGGAGTGAGTGAACCTTACTCTCATTAGAACTGGCTCAAAAAGGAACAACATACACACTTAATTGGGTATAGAAATCCATCTTACCCTACAGGAAATTAGGAGGGGAAGGGGATTAGAGAAGTTGATAGAGGGGAAAACATTGGTGGAGACAGTAGTCAGAAGCAAAGCACTTTTGAGGAGGGACAGGGTGAAAGGAGAGAGAGAATAGAATAAACGGAGGGGGAAATACGATGGAGGGAAATGCAGTTGGAAATCATAACTGTGAAAAAAATTTAGAAGCAAGTTTTTCTGATAAAGGCCTCATTTCGCAAACATATAGCGGACTGAGTCAAATCTATAAAAATAAGACCCATTCCCAATTGATAAATGATCAAAAGATATAAACAGTTTTCAGATGAAGTAATCAAAACTATCTAGAGCCATATGAAAAAATACTCTAAAATCACTGATTGGAGAAATGCAAATTAAAACAATTCTGAGGTACTACCACCTCATATCTATTAGATTGGCTAACTGGACAGAAAAAGAAAAGGACAGATGTTGGAGGGGATGTGGGAAAAATGAGACATTAATGCACTGTTGGTGGAATTGTGACCTGATTCAACCATTCTGTAGAGCAATTTGGAACTATGCCCAACGGGCTATAAAACCATGCATACCCTTTGACCTAGCAATATCACTACTAGGTCTGTATCCAAAAAGAGGTAAAAAACATAAAGGGAAAGTACCTGTATGTACAAAAATACTTACAGCAGCTCTTTACTGGTGACAAAGAACTGGAAATTGAGGGGAATGCCCATCAATTGAGAAACAGTTGAACAAACTGTAGTATGTGATTGTGATGAAATATTATTGTACCAGAAGAAATGATGAGCTGGATGCTCTCAGAAAAACCTGGAATGATTTACAGAAGCTGATGCAAAGTGACATCTACTGTGTACAAAGTAACAGTAATATTTTAAGATGAACAGCCATGAATGACTTTGCTATTCTCAGCAATACAATGATCCAAGACAATTCTGAAGAATTTACGATAAAAAATGCAGTCCATCCCCAGACCCAAGCACGCTTTTATGACACTTTATTTTTCTTGAGTGTTTTTTTGTCTATGTTTTCCTTCACAACATGATTAATATGGAAATATGTTTTGCATGATTATACATGTATGACCTATATCAAATTACTTGCCTTCTCATTGAGGTGGGTGTGGAAGGAGGAAGGGAGAGAATTTGGAACTCAAAGTGTACATGTAATTGGGGAAAATGAAATACTAAACAAACAAAAAAGACACATAAAAATGCTCCAAACCACTAATAATTAAAGAAATACAAATTAAAATAACTCTGTGGTTCCACCTCACACCCATTAGATTGACCCAAATGGTCAAAAAGGAGGGGCTGAGAGGCAATAATGCACTGTTGGTAGAGCTGTGACTCTTGGAAATAGCCATCCTAGAAATCAATTTGGAAATGCACCCCCAAAATTACTAAGTGACCCAAAGAAGCTACTACTAGGTCTGTAGCCAAAACAGATTAAAAAAGAGAGAGAAAAGGAACCAAAGAACGAAAATGTTATCACAGCAGCTCCATCTGCTATGCTAAAGAACTGGAAACCAAGAAGGCGTCTGTCAAACTGGGAAAGAATGAACTAATTGTGGTAGAAGAATTAATGGAATATTACTGGGCCATGAGAAATGATGAAAGGGAAGGCTCAGAGAAACCTGGAGAAACCTTAACTGACATCTAGGAAACTACGTGGAGCCAGAAGAACAATTTATACAATAACAAAAACATCCTAAAGAAAAAGAAAACCCCAAACTTTGGAAGACTTAAGAAGGGTGGGCTTGATCATGGAGGTCCGAAAGTGGCTCGATTCGTGAAAGAGGGAAGAGGGAGAGCCAGGGAGAGAAGGGGAGACATTTCCAGACATTTGCCAACACGGACCATACAGATTTGTCTTTCTTTCCACTGGGGGGCTGATGGGAAGAAGGGAGGCGAGTGTGAGGGCTGTCAAAAGGATTTTTCAAACTTCACCTAAGACAGCAGAGGGAGCACCTGAAGGCAGGACACCCTGGAAAGTTCTCTGTGGAGTCTATTCTACCCTTAAAAAGAAGTGCTAACTGTCCATAACAGGGATTGCTCATTCTACACATGGAGCTTTTTCTGTTCCATTTGATATAGGAAAATGCTCATTTTTAATTGCTGTTAAGTTCAAAATAAATAAAATTAAAAACAAATAACATTTAAAATGTAAAAGACCTGTACATGTAGTACTTAGAGCAGGTCTACACAACATTCAGCCCACGAAAGGATTTCAGGCAGCCTGCAAAAAATGCAGAGGGAGTAAAACAGGCCTGCACAACGTACTGCCGTGAGCTGTGTGTTGTTCAGGTCTAGCCCAGAGTGATCTGGGAGCCTCTTAAACAAA